TGTTACATAACTTTGTCTTTAAAGTCGTTACCGTTTTTTACTTATAACCCGTTAAATAAATTTAAAAAAAAGTCAACAAACTGTAATTTATTAGCGAGTAACATTTTTTTTTTTAAATAAATAAACTTATTTAAACTTAAATTATATATTTTAAACTAAAGTTATATGTTTTCTATTATTCTATTCAAGTTTCTTAAAGTACACTTTAAGAAACTTGAAATATTTTTGCTCTAGAGCACTGAATTTTTGTATTTCGTTTCATTCAAAGAGCAAGGGTTAAAAATCAAATTATTGAAACTGAAAAATGTCTTAATATTTTTAATGCTTAGGGCTAAATTTTTTAATATATTATATCCAGTTTTACAAATTTGGAAAATTTTGCAGTAAGTTTAACCTAAAATAAAACTCAGTGTAAAGGGATTAACTTGAAAGTCACAGAAAGTAAAGGATGCCAGATCATTTTCAAAATTGACCAAATTTTATTTTAAAAGATTAGAAAAATTAAATTTCTGGTCTTTGTCCAACTCTGTCCAATTCTATTCAAACTTTAAAGTATTGATTAAGAATCACTTAACCATTTCTGCTTAAAATCATACCCCCTATGTCCCCCTTTCAAAGTTAAATCAGTTCATTCAGCTGGCATGCCATTGCCACGGCAATCCTAAATTTGCCGGGCATCAATATGTATTATATATAATATTTATATATAATACATATTGTGCCGTCTTCCAATTGGACTCGCAAGTGAAGAAGGATCTGAAGCCAACAACTAGTATTTGAGAAACTTCAGAATGCATCATACAAGAAAGTCTTCATGAGAAACTTCAGAATGCATCATACAAGAAAGTCTTCATGAGAAACTTCAGAATGCATCATACAAGAAAGTCTTCATGAGAAACTTCAGAATGCATCATACAAGAAAGTCTTTATGAGAAACTTCAGAATGCATCATACAAGAAAGTCTTCATGAGAAACTTCAGAATGCATCATACAAGAAAGTCTTCATGAGAAACTTCAGAATGCATCATACAAGAAAGTCTTCATGGGCACATGGCATGGCTGATATGTTCCACAGGCTCACGGATTTGAGTAATCCAAAGATTCAAGGATCATGTGAAAACGCCAAAGATTCAAAAAGAAGAGAAAACTGCCAGCAAGGATTGTTTCTTTACTTGAGTGTTGTGAACCAACCACAATAGTCACCAGGCTTTCGTGATGATAGTGATTCAGATTAAGTTATTGGGCATTTAAAATTATTTTTGATTTAAAAATAGTATAAAATTCTGGTGAAAATGAAAACAACTTATTAAAATTCATTATTTTTCTAAATTTTTCGTGTGATAAATATGTTTTCATTGTTATTCAACGTCAAAAAAAATTTTCAAGTTATCTAAGTGTAAAAAATGAAATGAATTGAACTTAAACTTCATGAAATTCTTGTGGAAATGGTTACAACTTAATGTAATTAATTATTTTTTTAATTTATAGAGATAATGATGTTTTTAATGTTATTCTATTATTAAAACTATTACATTTTAAGTTGTCAAAAGTGTTAAAAACCAAATAAATTTTATTTATTTAAAATGCTTCATGATTAATTTTTTATGTTATTACCGATTTTAACTGTTTTGGAAAGGAAACACAATTAATTCGCAATTTCAAGCATTTCTGATCACTGTGCGTAGGTCAATTGAATGTTCTATTTAAACCATATCTAAACGGTTAGTTTTAAACTCCATTTAAATCTTTCGTTTTAAACTTCGCGACGTTTAAATTTATTTTACGGCAATTATTTTAAGGAAGCATAAATAAAAGAAATTCTGATAAACGAACAAAGCTTTTCTATTATTTAAGCTGCTTTAAACAAGCACCGTAAAGAAAAGTTAAACGCTGAACGCATTGCCTAAATACTCATAAACAAATCAAACGTTCAACAGATAATTTTTTATTTATATAAATCTAAAATACAAGTAAAATCATTTTGTTTATTATTATATGCACTATCGTATTCGTCATCATGATCGGCTCCATAATGATCGTCGTCGTCTCTGCTTGAACCGATTAAGCCTCTTCGTCTTATGAATTAGAAAAAAGGACATAACCTTTCCTATTTCTACCTATACGGAAGGGAGCCATTTTAAGATTACAACCAATGCACAATACCGTATTGCGGATACCGAGGACGTACAATCTCCTTTCAATACAAGTTCTAAAAATAATAAAAATAGCTCAATAAACATCTTCATTCTATTCATATAAATCATTTATTCAACAACTTTATAAATCCATAATTTTATAGATTTTAGAAGATTTTGAGTAACTATAGTAATAATTGATAGAGAACTTTTCTTTAAAACTCTGTAATTTATATAACACTATTTATAAAATAAAAACCTTATTTAAATAGTTGTAGTTTTTTCAGTTATGGGTTGATAACTGATAAGTTGCATAACTGCAGGACAACTGCAGTGCCATTCTTAAACATAATAATAGAATATTATTTAGTATTCTATTACTTATATATATAATACTGTATATATATATTTATATATATATATATATATATATAAATATATATATACAGTATTGGACAAAACATTTGCAACCAACATCGAAAAATGCTAAAAAGTGTTCCTAATTTTACATGTCTTGTAAGTGTAAAAACTTGTAAAAACGAAACGAACTATGCAACCACAGCAAACAGTTCAGGAGTCTGGAGTCATAGCGTGCCATGACATAGCAATCAGCTGACAGGTGACAGCACACAGGTAGAATTTCGTTGACAAGTGCCATTTTGCAGTAGACAAAACAAGTGCAACTTTTTTGGTTTGTTTCATTTTCTTAAGTCTGGACCGTGTCAACGTCACGGAAGTTTTTTAATAACTAAACGAAGTATCCTGACGTTGTGTTCCACAGAGCATTATTGTATCATCACAAAGTAAATGTAATACTGTAAAAATGGCTTCCGACAGTCTTGGATTGGAACTAAGAAAGAAAATTATTGGCAATTACGTAAGTGGAATATCACAAAAAAGTATTTGTGATAAATATTGCGTGAAAAAATGGACCGTATCAAGACTATGTTCCAAATATCGTTCTACGTTGAAGTTTGCATCAGATAAGAAAGGTGGAAGACCGCGTTCCACCACTTCTAGAGAGGATTCTATGATCTTCAGATCTGTCAAGAAGGATCTCTGGATATTATTAGTCAAGATACAAAAGCAATTAGAGCTGCCTGTATCGGACCGAACAATCAGATGACATGCTATTGAAGCCGGATTGTTTTCTCGACGCCCTGCAAAGAAACCGCTGATTTCACTAAAGAACCTGAAGAAAAGGCTCCTGTTTGAAACATCTCATATTGACTGGAAGGTACAGAAATGACGAACTGTCCTGTTCAGTGATGAATCGAAGTTCAACATTATTGGGAGCGATGACATTTGCCGTGTACGTCGACCGGTTGGAGAACGCCTCGATTTACGTTACTGCCATAAGACCGTGAAGCATGGTGAGGCAATGTAATGATCTGGGGGTGTTTACTTGTTCAGAAGCATAGCGCGCTAATCACTCGACCACACTGAAACGTTGATAATAATTTCTAAAACTATGTAATGACGTTTTTTACGGAAAGATATGCTGTACATCAAAATTAAGGAGAACTTGACGCAATGCAATTTTTAAGTGAAAATCAAACTGTAAAACTTGATAAATGTTTCAGTATGTTTTAACATTACTTAATTTAAAGTTTACATGCGTTAAAAATTTGCATACACGTTTCTTCACGTTTTCTTAAAAAAAAAAAAGTGCTGCAACTCTCACTCGCCACTACCTCGGTTGCAATGGCTGCGAAGGGTTTTGTGTAAAATACGCTACCAAGGGACACTATTAAAACTTTTTAATAGTGTCCCTTGTTCGGCATTATTACATATAAGAAAATATAGTATAAAGCTAATATAGCGCTATTGGCCTACTTGCTTGTACTACTACGAACATATTATTTTAGACTTTATAACTAAGCCTTGCAATAACTTATATTTAGTCTATAAATTGCTATTGGTTTTTAGCTATGGTTATACCTGGGTATAAAATTGTAAATGTACATTATTAGTTATTACACAAATATCCTACTTTGACCTAAACATGGGGCAGAATATGGTATTAGTGTATTTTTTTTTTTAAATTAAAATAAATTAAAATTTTTACATTTTATGGTTTTCTTGCTTCGTTTTAATATTGTTAATTTTTTTTTTTCAAGTAAACTTGTATTGATTTATAAAATTTTGTTAATATATTAAGGGTTTTTCTTTTAGTAACCCGTTTTACCACACTTCCCCTATAGAATGTTAATACTTTTTAATTCTCTTTTTTGCTTCATTCTATATAAGCAAAAAAGCATTAACAAAATCTCTTTTCAATTTTTGTGACATCTTCTTTCATTTTCTGTGACGGTAAATTATTTAAAGTAAACATAATGCTTATATTGTATAGGTAATATGTCAAATAGTATTTTCGTCACTGAAAATAGCAAAAAATATAATGGTCAATGTTAGGGTTTAAGACATTGCTTGCATGGTTATTATGCTGCAGCTATAAACCAAAGGTCTGAGTAACTAAAGGTCCTAAATCTGCAGTGTTTCTAGTTCAACTATATTCTATTTGAATGGTAATGAAATTGACGGTAACCATTTATTTATAAGTCATGTATCTTTAGTAGGATACTTGAAGCATTGGTGTAGTCCAGACCGTTTACAAATTTTTCAACTCATCGTTTATAATTATATATAGTTATAATTGACGCTCTGATTTTAAAAAGTTGGGCTTATGTGTCATAGATTTTAATGCAAGTTAAGGTAAATAGGGCATTAAAAAAAGTTAAAGAAGTTTTTAGAGTTATTGTTGACTTAATAATACTTATCTGGATTATAATGATTATTGCTTAAAAAATTAATAACTTGAATATGCCGGGGGTTAGAGGTACTGAGTACTTACAAAGCAATTAG